CTTTGGATGAAGGGAAAAAGTCTCCTATATATAGCAGAAGAGCCAAGGCAGTAGCTGCATCAGGAAAATGAAAGTCAGAGATGCAAGCAAAATCCAGGCAATCTGGCTTTAGCAGACAAAGCCAACATCTGCCCTGTGATAGGAGCTTCAGAGACAGACAAGACATGGCTAAGATGTGACCCCTTCAATTAGGGAGAGGGGTTTCCTCTGCTGAATACTAAATTCAGGCAGGTTTAGGCATGAATGGAAACTGCATGCCATAAGGGAGGGCCAGGAATAGAAAGCCCATGTGGGGGAAGAGCTCTCTAGAAGGAGCAAACGCATCTCCAAGAGGCTTTATCATTCTTATTTTGTCACTACTACCAACAATAATAAGAAAAGAGCTTACAGAGCAACCTCCCCAATCCCTAAGCAATGCATCCAGAGATTAGCAGCAGAGAGCAGTGGGCAGCTCTAGAAAAGCTGTTCAACAAATGTAGAGGCATGCATAATCAGATTACTGAATTGGAGTTGCATGTTTTCAAGGATAAACGTGATATTATTGCACTGTCAAAGACATAGTAGGAACAGGGGAGAGGCTGAGAAATAACTACAGATGAGCTCCCAACAGGACAGGGACAAGTGGCAAGTGGAGGCAGTGAGGAGGAGAGGAAGTGCACATCCTACTTGACATGCAGATACGCAGAGAAGCTTTTTGCAAAATGGGTGATGTCACCGTGTTTTTCTCAGCCTTCAGGACAGCAAGAGAAAAATAGATGAAACCAGCACATGCAGAGGAGTCTGTAAGATGAGCAGATTCACCCCCCTCCGCCCCCCGCTCCCCATGGAACACTAATTGTTCAAATACTGATCAGGGAAATAATTTGTAAAGACTAAAAGAAGAAAGGATTTCTTTTCCACCTAAGAGGCAGACAGGGCAACATTCTTGCAGTGTTGCTGGAAAGGTCCAGGTGATCAGAGGATTGCCAAGACCATATAAGTTAATTAAGATGTTGAATTGGTCTAATTTGTTATTTGTTTGTACTGGAAAGGATGGAAAAACTGCTATCTGTGGGTTTTCAGGATGCTACAAAGTCACATTGGAATTGCAGCCTGGCTGCTTCTCCCAAGGGACATGAACATCCCACCAGACAGGCAAGACACCCACAGATCCTAAATAGCTTGGTTAGTAAAAACCAACAGCTAGAGGAGAGACTTCTGCTGTGGAAGCCCAGGGCTGCTAGCTGGATTGTGAGCAACAGAAACCAGCTACCCAGGCTTAGCCTTGGTAAGGGAAAGGGAAATTAAGATGAAAAGCCTAAATCAGGGTGCTGGAGAACTGCTGCTAACCACTGCTGCCCTGACATGGATGCTAGAGTCCAGAGAAAAAGGGGCAGTTCTTGCTCAGCTACTGGAGAGCTCCATTTTTTAATATTTTTTTTCCTGAGGAAAGGAAAACTACCATACAACAAACGTAATAGCTACTCCAGAAAATATCCCCACCTGATCTTCATCTAGAGGAAATGCAGACAGAAGTGAACACCAAAGTCCTCTATGGTTAAAAATGGATGTTTTAAATACAAGTACAGGAAGAATACTATTTAAAAGACAAAAACCAAGAACCAAACTGTTAAGGGATTCTGGGAGAATGACAAAAATAAGCAGGAACATGCAAAAACAGTGACTGCAGGAAGAGGAGGAGGCATCCACAGAGACTGCAGTGAGTATTTCTCAGGGATAGACAGGCAAATAAAGTCACAGGAAGTGGGAGAAACTGATCCTTTAAAAGATCTTGTAAGGCTAGAGAGACAAATTTTGTTAAATAACTGCCTGTGAAATATTCTTTGTTTGGTAGAGGGAGAGTCCCTCAGTGCTCAGTTTTGCATGGGGGGGTTTTCCCATTGGGCAAAGCTAGTGCAGGGAATATGACACAGCAAGTGCCTCTGAGTTCAATGGACTGGTGAGGGGAAATGGTTTGGGTGCCTGTTGCTTGATCTGACCCTGGGGAAGGGCCAAGTGCTGCCCCATGGCTCCGTGGCACCTTGCACAAGGATGGCACAGCTTCAGTTCCAGCTGCAAGGGATGGCAGCGTTACAGGAAAGGAGCAAAGCCCCCTCTGCTCATGCTGGGGGGTAACAAGGCAGCAAGGCTGGGGCTTCAGCAGCTGTCTGCTGCCTCACTGTAGAGATCTGGAGACTCTCAAAGAGCGGGTATGATAAAATCTAACAGAGTGTTCTTTCCAGTCACGTACAGGGTGAAGCATCACACATAAATAAGACGCTGCTTGCTAGGAGGTGATTAGTTTAAAGGCCAGTCAAAAAAAAAGTCAAAAGATATGGGCAAATCCCAGTGGATAAAAAGAGCAACACAAATTAGGTCGTGGGGTCTTGTATGATAAAATCTAACAGAGTGTTCTTTCCAGTCACGTACAGGGTGAAGCATCACACATAAATAAGACGCTGCTTGCTAGGAGGTGATTAGTTTAAAGGCCAGTCAAAAAAAAAAGTCAAAAGATATGGGCAAATCCCAGTGGATAAAAGAGCAACACAAATTAAGGTCTTGGGGATTCTTCATCTCCTCTTTGAATGCCATTTTCCACCCTCAGGTACATCACATCATTCATTAAAAAGTAAAAACCCACAACAAAAGACCAACTTATTCTCTCAGTATTCAACCAGTCCCAGTTTAACCATGAGAAGTTCTGCAGTGAACTGTTGCAGAGGAGTCAGGTTAAAATGGTAAAATGCAAACAACGCTGACAGCCAGCAGGAAAGGCCCCCCCATTGCTGGAGTGAGAGATAGTTACATTTGATTGGAAAAAAACCTTCTTATTGAGTAGCACAAGTCCAAAGAAAAAGAATTAGTAGCACAAATTTTCCCAATTATTTTAGGTCCTTTGGTGACAGTCATTAAATCTCAGACTAGTTAACTTTGTTCCCTTTCTATAGGAACAGTTTGAGCTCCCAGACCTGGCAAAGCAGATGGAGTCTGGCTTTAGGAAAGGTGACAGAAGTTCCTGGAGGCCTGTGGCCTCGGTGGCAGTGCTCCACTGAGTGGACAGCTGAGGAAAGCTGGCCAGGAGCTACCAGGCAAAGGCTCAGACTTTGAAAATGCAGCCTGGAAGGGAGCCTGGGCACAGCTGGCTGGGTCAGGCTGCCAAGTCCCTCTCCTCACATCCTTCCATCAGAAGTTGAAGACTTGGTCCAGCCTATTCAATATGTAGAATGAATTCTCATGAAGGTGATCAAAGCAAAGGGCATACTCTGGCATGAAAGAACAGTTATCCACCAGCAGGGAGAAAATCGGATAAAGAAGCAGCTTAGCAGCATTTCTATCCCTGCCTGGTAAGCTAATTGTTCATCATGCTCATTTTCCTTGCTACACTTGAAATGAGTAGAAATCTGTGTTTGAGAACTGTTGGAATACTTGAGGTCTGGCAACATCCAGCACCATTTTCATTACAGTAACAAAGTCACAGAATGGAAGCTTTAAGTGGGAAGGGTAATAATGCACTGCCATTCACTCTCAATTAATCCAGAGCCTGCAATGCTGAATGCACCTACTCCAAGAATCTTCTCAGAAAATGAAGCTAGAGTGCATTTCATGTATAAATCACAAAATACACTTATTTGGCAAGAATGACCCCTGCTTATATACAATAAATCACAAGCATCAACAGTTTCTAATGGATTTTGAGTCAGTGTAACAGACAGCAAAGCCCAAGGCTTGTGTTTCAGGATTCCAGGATTGTGCCAAAGGAACCTTATAAATGATGAATACATTCAGCAGTGTCATCCCTGCCACTGGAAAAAAAGAGACATTCTGGAGCTCCATTTGCCATTAAAAAAGTGATAATGGGATCAGCAGCTGAACATGTCTCTTCCTCCTCCTGCCAGAATGAGCCATTTAGCTCAACACTCCACAAAATCCCTTCCCCAAACTTCCATGCATGCTCTTGGTCCATGATGTGCACCACTTCAGTAAGAGAAAAGAGGGGAAAAGTAGCAGTCTGTTTTCAGAAGTAGCCCACCAAAGCCAGACTTCCCACAGGATGGAGCTGTGGTTTGCATTTGCACGTGTGCCTACAACAGGGAGGAGACAAGAAAGAGGTAGCTGGGGCCTCTTTCTACTCCTTTGCCATAAGGATGCTGGTACATAGAAAATTCAGGGTTTGGTCCTTACTGATCAGCCTCTTATGCTTTTCAGTTATTCATCCCACAATTTTCAACCTCTCCCCCTTCACTTTTGTCCCCATGGTTACTGAATCATTGTGTTCATGGATATTTTCCTCTCTAAAGAATATGTGACTAACATGAGACAGCTAAATTATCAGAGCCAATTCTGACATTGGTTTCTCCTAGCATGGATCTTCTCTTCCAAACGCCTTCAAAATAGATCTGTTGCACCAACTTCAGAGCAAGCAGCACTTCAACTATTGACAGACAGAGCTGCAGCAGCATTGCACAGGGAGACTTAAAATAGGTTGGAATCAGGTACAGGATGAGATTTAAGTGTGGCAGCCTAGGAGCACATGATACAGATAACTAGATGTATTTCACCACAAAATTTTAAATTAAGCCCCAGGAAGGAAGGTCTAATTTCCTGACTAGACCCAGGTCTAAGAGTTCAAGCAGATTTCCTCTTCTTAAAAGCCACTTTGGTGAAGCAGGAGCAAACACATGTTTAGGCCAAAAGAAATCACTGTTACAAAATGCACCAAGACAGGCCATTGGATAACAAGTTCACTAATCTTCAGCTCCAGCACTCAGTGTATGTGAACCCAGGGTCAGTGGAGCTGCTCCCACCGGGCAGCCTGGACTGTCCCAGGGAAGCTCCAACCAGACCCCTTCCACACTACCCAGAAAAAGATACAGGCCTTTCTGCCCTTCATTCATAGCACCCATCCAGCCACAAGTGCCCAGATGCCAAAGCAAAGCCAGCAAGGGCAATACCTCCTGTACACACCACTACAATCACAAGCCAATACAGACAAGACTTGAGAAGAAAGGTTGAGATCTTACCTTGGCCGCTACGGAGGAGTTGGGCTTCTCCAGGAGGTCCCAGAGCTTTTTCCTTTTCTCAGCACAGCAAGTGTTATCAAATTCCTCCCCTTCCCTTTCCCTCAGAGTCTCAGCTTCTCTCTTCAGCTCCTCATTCATCTGCTCCTTCTTCTGGTGGTAGCGGGCCTGGCAGCAGGACTCCAGGTAGATCTCATCCACCCCCCAGTAGTCCAGCTCCTGGCTGAAGGACAGGGCACACATCTCCTCCATCATGTGCAGCTTGCCCGTGCGGTAGAAGTTCAAGATTGAGGTGAACGCCCCGGGATGCCTGTCGAAAAAGTACTCGTTCTCCTCCAGGTTGTAGTCGTCGCAGATCTCCATGAGGGAGTCGTGTGTGTTGCAGTCTCTGAGCTTACCCAGCCTGGTCCGTGGCAACCTGTCCAAGGTCCGCCAGAGAACCTCGTGGGCCAGCCCCCCCACGTTGAGCTTGACCCTCCGGGAGCAGGCCTTGCTCCTGACGATCTCCGTGGGGTCCGGAGGCAAAGAGGTAGTAGAGCGAGATCCATGTTTATTCATCCCCAGAGGCATCGCTGGTCCCGCTCAGGCTGGGCGCTCCCAGGTGCGGCGCGGGGCAGGGCTGGCGGGGGCCGGTTCTGCTCACCTCTCCTTCCCCTCCATGCCCCGGAGCTGCGAGAGAGACCGACCATGGGTCCCCGCCCGCTGACCCCCCTCCG